TGCATATTACATTTCAGATTAAAGCCAAGAAGCCCCTCTTTGTGCAGTTTGTCCTTGATAACTTGTGGTCTGTGTATGACTCTATATTCATCAGAAGGTAAATGTAGATTTCTTGTGGATTGATAATTAAGTTTATTTCATTGTTATGAACTCTAGTTTATGACTTTCTTTCATCTTGTTAAGTTCTGTCATTTTAAAAACATTTTCTATAAAATTATGAACACAATCAGTTTTAACTTAATGCACTGATTAAGGTTGTTTCTGTTTTTTGATAGAGATAAGGAGAAGACAGAGAAGATAGTTACCTCCCTTGGCCTGAAGATTCCCCCTCGTGACATGCGACATTCGGACGGTCGGGTTCAGCTACAGGCTGTCTGTAGTCAATGGTTACCTGTGTCCAGTGCTGTACTCAGTAAGTGTCCTTGAAATTTGTTTATTTATTTTATTAGTTCCCTACTAGTGAATCCGGAGTGGAATATAAATTTTCTCCTTATCTGTCCACCCATAGCCTTCTGTTCGTCTGTCCCTCTGTCTCTCTGTCAGTCTGTCCCATGGTTTTCCATACTTTTTTCCTAAACACTTGCAGATATTGAACTAATATTTGATATTTACTTTGATGATTTTTGAATGAATTACAGGCTTTTTAATTTTTAAGGGGAACTCAGAATTCCCACTTGGTTTTCTGTACTTTTTTCCGAAACACTTGACAGTTTGTAAATATTGAGATGAATTTTGGTATGTGAGTGTTCTGTGAAGAAGTCACGTTTTGTTTCACTTAAATGATTTTTAACAGAATTTGCAGCCTTTTTTAAAGTTTTTATCAGGAACCAGATTACACTTGCCAGTAGGGGGCTAATATTGTTAATGCAATACTGTCAGAATGCTTGTTACTAGTAAAATTTATCCCAAAATTATTAGTTTTATCATGTTTTCATTTTTATTTCATATAATTGGTAATATTTAATGTAGTTTACATAATTATTTCAATTAATATATTTAATGATGCAAAAAGATTGATTTATTTTGAAGAATTTTTAATTGCAGGAGTTGTAGTCAGTAAACTCCCCTCTCCACTGGCTCTCTCAGAAGAAAGGGTGGAAAAACTGATGTGTGCCCAGATGAGAAAGTTTGACTCACTACCAGCAGAAACTCAGGGTCTTAAACAGTGTATGCACTTTTAGATAAACATTATTTGACCATAATTTCCTCATATTTACCTTTGAAAAATGAATTTGTCTATTAGTAAAGCAATAACAGGTGTATTAAATATTTGTCGCCAAATGGATGTATTGAGAAATGACAATACTGTACTTGTATGTTTAATGAAAGTATGGGGTACAGGTTATTTTTACTTTTTGATGCAAACTATGTATTTCATTCTTTACTTCACAGCATTTTTAAACTGCTCTGCCTCAGAAGAATCTCCTGTGATTGTGTTTGTCTCCAAAATGTTGCCAGTTGACAAGAAAATGCTCCCTCAAAACAAACAAAGGTAGATATTTAGTAGAGAATGATTATAGCCAATGCTACTTTAGAAAACAATTTATTTTCTCTGGATTTTCATAGATTTTACTTGCAAGTATGGGGGAAATTTTTTTTACTGAAAATACATGTATGATATTCTGCAGTACTGTATATTATAATGCTTCATTTTCAAAACAAGTCTAGAGTTTTACATTTTTCCCGTATTTGGATAGACCGTTAACAGAAGCAGAGATTGCCGAGAGACGACGAAAAGCCAAAGAGAAAATGGCAGAGAGAGCGGCAGCTAGAAATCAGGAGCAGACAACTGAGGCAGCAACTCAGGAAGGGGACACTAATGAAGGTTGTACATATTAGGGATTCTGAAATGTATAATCACATTTTAAACATCTGTCAATTTTAAATGTTCTTCTATTGCGTCTTGTTAATTTATAAGGACACCTTCCAAAAACACAGTTTACTATTTTTTGGAATGAACAGTAAGCAATGTATATGTAGAAGTACAAGTAATGTGATTTGTCTGTCAGGTCAGAATGTACATAATCATTTTTAAATCATAAGAATGACTTCCTTTACAGCCCTCAACCCCCTTCCCGAGGATGACCCAGAGAATAAAGAGAAGGAGACAGACTTTGTCTTTGTTGCGTTTGCACGGGTATTTAGTGGCACCATCAGAAAGGGACAGAAACTGTATGTTCTGGGACCCAAACATGATCCAGCTCTGATATCCAAAAAGGTAGATTAAATTAAAGGTTATTCAATGGGATTTTAACTTCTTATGACCATATTTCTGTAATGTTCTGACCCATTTTAGCTGTAGGTTTAGTAATGGATGTTTTAATACAAATCAGAGAATCAGTTAAAATGGTGTGCCAAATTTGTAATATTTTTATTTGTTGACACTTTTCATCCTGTTACAGATACAAAGTGGTGAGGAAATAAAAGAAGTGAATAGCATTCAGGAGTTGTCACATGATGACCATGTGACCTGTGTCACTATCAAGGAACTGTTTGTATTCATGGGGAGGGAACTAGAGGGGATGGACCACATCCCAGCAGGGAACATACTGGGTTTGTATCAGAAATTACTTGTATTATTTAATTAATATTATACATTTATTGACTGGGTTCGAGGGCAACATGTGTTTTGTCGGACCCAAGAACCAAACTGTTTGGTTTCAGGGGTCAACAAAACGCATTTTGCCGGAGAACGCAGTCAATAAATGTTTTGTTAAACCTTTTATTTATTTATTTCATCATTATTATTTTTTGACATACATGTATGTCAAACACCAACGAATGCAAATGAGATTTAGCTGACCCTGCCTATTATGTGACGTAACCAGTCCAACATCTCATCGACAGGTCCAATATCTCACTCCGAGGTCAAACATTGATTTTTTTATGCCCACTCAGTAAAACATTAGAAATGTTAGACTTTTTTTTGTTTTGATTTATATAGGAACTAACTTCTAAAGGTATTACAATAATTAATATTAATAGTATTAAAATTTTTATGTAAGTCATGATTAAACTGTGTAGGCAAATATGCAAATTACTGAATTTCAAGATTACCTACATGTATTTTAAATTATATATTTGATTCATGCATTAAAGATTATGTGTTCGATTCATAATGAGAAGAAGAACATATTTTTTTATTGATTTATCAAAATGAAAGCTTAATCAAGTTTTCTTTTACTCTTGTCTAGGAATTGGGGGTTTGGAGGATCATATTCTGAAATCAGCTACAGTGTCCAGTACCTTAATGTGTCCAGCTTTCTGTGATCTCTACTTTGATGCAGCTCCTATCGTCAGGGTGGCCATTGAGCCTAGTCACACTCGTGAGTATAAGTCACAGTGGCCTTTGAGCATACTCACTCTTGTGAGTATCTGTCAGGGTGACATTGAACCTAGTCACACTCATGAATATCTGTCAGGTGATTTTGAACCTAGTCACCACAGTATTCTGTCTGTCTTAAGTATCTTGAAGATTATTCATGTGGTATATACTTCAATATAACTGTCATTGAATTCATAGGAGACAAATACTGTAAAAATTATTAAATCTACTGATTTAAGTTATTTTTTCTCACTTTGACCAAGCTTTTCTGATTAAAGAGTGTTCTGTCATCTCTGCCCTTCTGTTGTGTTTTGGCTATACTTTTTACATTTTCATCCAAAATCACTAGGCCCACTTAAATCAAACTTGCAGCAAATCAGTCTTGGTGGAAGGGAATGCATATTGGGCTACATCCACTTTCACTGGGAAATAATTAAGAAATAATGAAAACCTGGTGATTTCATTCCAAAAAAAATCTTCTTCTCCAGTTGTAAAGGCCTGAAAAAGCAAAACTTATATGAAAGTCTCCAGACAAAGTGAAGATTCTAATCTGTTCAATTCATGGCACCCAAGGATAAGATGGGGCCACATGTTTTACATGGGAATACAAAGGAAAAATATTGAAACTTTTCTTAAGAACAGCATGGCCATTAATATTGATATAATATGCAAGCATCCTCTTTACTACAATATACCCTGGTAAGTCTAGGTGTGGGTGGGGGGATGTTAAACATTCAAAATTTCAGAATACATTCATGTCTGAGAAATTCATAATGACATCTAGTGGACAATGTGTTTGATCAATTATAATGTTGTATGAGCTCTCTGTCAACTTTGCAAATTTTTAAACTCCCAGGTGAAATCTTTTATCCAAGGACTTCTAGGAGATTTTTTTTTGGGGGGGGGGGGGGGGGGGCATGATTCTGATAATTAAAATGCCCTAAGTTCCAAGTTGCAAATTTTGTGTTTTGAGTCCATGCATTAGGGCATCAGGTCTTAGGACAGTGTCCATATTTTCAGGCCAATTAATAATTAGTTTCAGCAAAATATTCTTAAGACTTCATTTCAAATTAAAGATGAAATATGTCAAGCAATGAAGATCTTTTAATATCTGCCACCTGATTTTTGCGAACCAGTTTTTGGTACTTAAAGCATGACAATATTTTCATGAATTTCAATTATTGATCTATATATTCTTTGATAATACAAAGATAAGTGAGAATGAAATTTTCATGAGCAGGCACCCATGCTTAATTACACGAAAATAAAGTTCTTGCAAGTAAAAACTGATTACAGTAATTTATTTTAGTAATTACTAAAGCCACTAGGTTTATGGTTTGTAGAAAAAGAAGAAAAAAGTTTTGGACAAGTTTATAACACAGCAACTTTAAAAAAAAAATTATGTGACAAAAGTTGGCTCGTCTTTTAATAGAGTATGTAGAAATAATTACAATACTGAGGTGATCAAGGCTCAATAGGAATCTTGCTTGCTCAATACTGATGTTAATTCACTGTTTTAATATCTAACATTAGTTTGAAAATACACATTGTTTTCATCCATGCAGTGTTTACTTTGTTTTTAATTTAGAAGTGTTTATAATTCCCTTCAGATATATATTGATAATGAATTATAAGACAAAAATTGAATATTCATTACAAGATTTCATTGTGTTACTGTAGCATACTGATACATCAGTAATTTTGCATACCCCTTATATAGAATATAACACAGAGATGTACATGTATACATGTAATTCACTGCAGATATTTGATTTTCTTCACATGTTTGTTCCACAATTGAGCAACAAACAGATTGTCATTTGTATCTATACATAGACCCCAGGGTCGACTCAGTCCACAGTCTAAGTAACGGAGGAATTGTCCATCCTGGTCTATGATGTGGACACAGTAATTGTTAACATCAACTGTAAGGATGTGACTCTGACTGTCTGTGGTGATTCCTCGTGGATAGAATGGTGTGTTCTTTAGAGCAGCAGTATGTCCAGTGTACCTGAATCTCAGTTTCCCGGCCTGATTGACCACCACTACTGCTCCAGCTCTATCATCAGACACACAGATATCCAGGTTCTCGTTCTCAGTTATGTATCTGTTATAAAGAGAACGAGGTGAATAGAGAGGTTTACCTTTATCATCAAACTGAATGCTTTGTTTCTCTGTGGAGCCAGAGTAACAGACAACTTTTGTTTGTGTGTCATCATCACTGACCATGATAACCAGGAGGTCACCAGAGGAGGTAGTACAGACACCTTTAGGTTTCCAGTTCTGTAGTCTGATCACCTCCTCTATCTTCTCATTCTTCACAGTGTTCACAGTTCTATCTTTGTAATCAGTATAAACTAGATCTCCACTTTTCTTCACTGCTATGTCCAATGGTATTTTCCCTGACTTGGTTGTGATTGACTTGACTAGTGATCCCTGATTGATGCTGTATAGTTTCGTGGTGCTGTCATATCCACTTGTCCAGATTTCTTCATCACTCAGACAGACCACATTGTAAAGGTTGTCTCTATACCCAGTGTGTATGGTGGTGACAGTCTCTGGTTTATCAAGTAGCTGTTTGACTGGAGGAGAGGATCCAGTTTCTGGTGATTTCTGTGTTGTCTTCATGCTGTAGCCATGTTTATCTGATATTAAGGAACTTGATGATAAGGCTCCAAACAGTTTACAAAGTTCTCCTTGGATTTTTCCAGGAGTGAATTTGGGTAAAGATGACATGATTTTGTGTGGAAGATTCCTATATAACAGTACATTAGATGTGATGCTTAATAGTTTTGACAAGTCATTACAGTCTATAGCAGTTTCAAATTTATTAATTTCATCCTTGATGTCAGAAATTTTCTGGTTTATTTCATCCAGATGTTTCTGTAGAGTTTGTAACTGTGTATTTTTCATCTCATGAACTTCGGCTTTTAATTTCTTGACAAGTTTGTCAATTTCTCTGTGCCAGTCCTCTCCATGTTTTGTTATGGCTGTTGAGAGATCTCCATATTCCTTTTCTAATTGACTCATTCTGTTTTGTAGATCAGAGGCAATGTCCTGGTAGGTTGGATAAATTTTATCATTTAATTCATTGTGTTCTTGTTTAATAATTTCCATTTTTTCATTGAAAACTTCCAAGAATTTAGATAATTCATGACCTAAATGTTGATTAGATGTGAGACAGCTAAGACAGACAGGAATATCACATTTATTACAGTACATTTCACATTGTTCTTTGTCATGAGTTTTACATCCAGGGTAGATGGGAGTGGATTTTCTATCTTGGAAGTCAACAATTTTATGAGGTTTTGAAAGATCAGCAGAAAAATGTTTTCCAACACAAGCTGTACACAGGTTGACAAGACATGTATCACAGTGCATCTGTACCACAGCGGTCTCACACAGGTCGCATCGCATCAGGTCCTGGGCACTAGTACGGGGATCCATCATTAAATTTTTCTTGAAGCATATAAAGTTAAAATATTTTCTTAAGAATATTTACACAAGATAGAGACAGAGAATTTGGTTTGGTGATAGAGATAGACAAGTCACTTATGTTTACAATATTCATGTGAATCTTTGCATGAAAGAGGATTTAAGAAATAGATGAATTTCATTCCCCATTGCTGAAGCCTCATTAAAGGATTTTAACTTTTTAAAATGATCAAAAATGCTTAAGTTACCTCCTATATTTATTTCCTGACTTCAGTAATTATGGCCGTCCTGTCGATCAATCTCCAAGTGCAGTCTCTATGTACTCTGATCACAAGACACACCTGTGTTATCTACCTGTCAGGAGTTTATACTTCCTGGTCTAGATGGAGATTTAAATACCTTAAAAGCAGGATTGGTATTTATAAAGATTTATGAATGTAAATTTACTAAGAATACAGATTTTCAATTTTTATGCCCCCGTATCGAAGATTCGGGGGTATATAGTTTTTGCGCTGTCTGTCCGTCTGTCTGTCTGTTTGTCTGTCTGTTTGTCCGCAAAAACTTCAACCTTGCCCATAACTTTTGATTGGTTGGAGCTATGGCTTTCATATTTCACATGTGTATTCCTTGTGACAAGACCTTTCTTTGGGTACCACCATATTTGACCTTTTGACCTTGACCTTGGAGTTTGACCCAGTTTTGTAAAATTTTACCAAACTTTAACCTTGGCCATAACTTTTGAACAATTTGTGCTAGGGCTTTCATACTTCACGTGTGTAGTCCTTGCGACAAGGCCTTCCTTTGGATACCAACAACTTTGACCCTTTGACCTTGACCTTGGAGTTTGACCTACTTTTGGAAAAATTTAATCTTGACTATAACTTCTGAACGGTTGGTGCTAGGACTTTCATGTTTCACATGTGTAATCCTTGTGGTAATACCTTCTTTAGGATGCCAACAACTTTGACCCTTTGACGTTGACCTTAGAGTTTTACCTGCATTTGGAAAACTTTAGCCTTGGCCATAATTTTTGAACGGTTGGAGCTAGGGCTTTCATACTTCACATGTGTAATCCTTGTGACAAGACCTCTCTTTGGATCCAACAACTTTGACCCTTTGACCTTTGAGTTTTACCTACTTTTGGAAAACTTTAACCTTGGTTATAACTTTTGAACGATTGGTGCTTCAGCTTTCATATTTCACCTGTGTATTTCTTGGGAGAAGGCCTTTCCTTGGGCACCATTAATTTTGACCATTTGACGTTGACCTTGATGTTTGACATACTTTTGAAAAAACTTTAACCTTTTCCATATCTATTCAATAATTGCTGCTAGGTCTTTCATATTTGACAGGTTTATTTCTCGAGACTAGACCTTACTTTAGGTACCAACTTATTTGATTTGCATTTGAGAAAGTTTAACCTTTGCTATAAGTTGCCATACGGGGGCATCAGTGTTTCACAAACATATCTTGTTGCCAGACTAATATTCCACTGCTTATTAATTTAAGAAACAAAATATTATTTTAAAACTTATATTCAGATGTAAACATAGTTGCATGGTCATGTGATCAAATCATATAAAGCCCAAAGGGCTTTATGGAAGATTTAATTAATTGTGTACCAACCCCTATTTACATACCGATAAATGTTCAGAAATGATACCTTATTACTTCCAATTGATAGTAATTGAAGTTTACATTTATGACCGATTTGAAATAATTTTAAAGCTATATATGGCTAAAAAATAAAAATGTGAGATTGAGTATTGATAAAAATGATATATGTTATATCCGTTCAAATTAAAATTTTCACCGATTTTGAGATTAAATAACCTCTTGTTTCCATAGTTAAATAGACTTCAAACTGTGTCTGTTATTTAAATGCAGAGTCAGTAAATAAGGTGGTTATGGTTTAAAATTTCTAATATCTTTCAAATGTGATTGATATAAATTGTGTAATTTACAGGAAAGTCCTATATTTACATAAAGTAATAAAACAAATAGAAAGATCTTTAGTGTATACAATGGTGTACATCAACTGTGTTGAATATGTCGACCACTTGTGACGTCACTGTGAAATTATGTCTATTGTTTATGAATAAACAATGAATTTATGGTCATGTGACCAACCTGTTTATATACAGGCTTAAAAATGTCTCATCATTCAAAGAGTGTCATATAAGGGAAAACATTTGTAAATGTAAAAATATACATACATACGAGGGTTGTTCGAAAAGTTTGTGGACTGATGCGATAAAATCAATACTATGTAGTCTATGCTTACAAAATTTTTAATGAACATAAAACAACAAAAGTTAAAGAGATGTTAAAATTTTTACCTTGATACCTTGAATATTTTACCAAATTATCATAAAATAAAAAAGACATTATATGATCACCCGGCGCTGTCGCCACTTAGTTTCATGACGTCATTGTTTTTCAATGTACGCATTCTCTACCTCATACACTTATCTTGATGGGTTTCCTGGGAGTTTAGTAAAGATTTAAACCCGTCTTGTTTATATGATTTTACAATGTCATAAACAGTTGATTTTAATACATATAATATTGTAAATAGATCTGAAAGATCCTCACTTGATTGTAACAGCATATTTGCTTGTCGGAGTTCAACATCTATCACACATGATCAACGTCACTTTTCGACGTGACAAACTTTGAACACTCTTACTACAAATCGACATTCACTTTTACATCTCTCGTCCCTCTAATCTTTTTCGGCGTTTAAAAACAAGTACTCTGAATGCATTTTATTTTTCAGTAGCCCATTTAAATATTTCCTAGGTCTATGCCATTTTTTTCAGAGGGTGAAACTTTATAGAATGTTGGAAAAAGAAACCCACCCCCATTTCTGATGTCATTACAACCCCATAATTGTTTGGACATTTCATATAAATTTTACGATAAAATTTCATAGAACTTATAGAATGGGGTAAAAATTGCAAATTTTACTGTACAATTGTCATACCATATGAGTGAATTAACGGGATTTTTGAATGACGAATGCTCATATCAAAAAAGAGTTTTTTCTAAGTTACTTACGTAGAAAAAACATAATCGACGAGGTTGCGCCGCCTGGACATACCATTGCTTTCAAAAACATCAACAACTTATTAAAAAACAAAACTAATGATGTATAGTTTATTATATAAATAAAAAAGAAGATGCTGATTAAACTTTAAAAAATTCATTGATGTATCTTAAGCGGTTTTAATTTTATTGCGCTAGTCCACGAACTTTCCGAACAACCCTCGTATATATATATATATATATATATATATATATATATATATATATATATATATATATATATATATATATATATATAAATCAATTTCTGCATAAAAAATTTGAAAGGTTTTTGTTGTTGACTTCTTCACTTTTTCAAAGAAAATATAGAAATGTCACAAATTAAGAAGCTCTGTTTAAAATTGCAAAAATGGGTTTTGAAACAAGATGGGATAGATTGAACAATAATTGTTCCTGAACTTATTTATTGACACTAGCTTGGGATAAGGTTTTGAAATGGTTGTGTGTGTTTGTTTTGGAATCTGTAAAATCATGTTACATTCTGTGGTCAGTTTTCATGGTTACTGTATACAGGGAAATTTTTGCCCCCATTTTATTTTCGCCCCTTTTGCCTTACTCACAGGTGGGTGAATTTAAAATGGAACGAATTCAAAGAATGCAGTATATTTTCTTAAACAGAATTGTAACATTTTCAGCTTCTTCTCTTGAACCACTGAACCAATTTCAACCAAATTTGGCACATAGCATCTATATGTGAAGGGGAGTAAAAATTGTGAAATTCATGACCCCTACCCCCCTGGGGCCTGAGGGGTGGGGCTAAAACCATCAGAATTAATGCAATCTTTAAAAATCTTCTTCTTTACTCCTGGGCATCAAGCAGGCAAACTGTTGGCATGAATGTAATAAGCATTGAGCCCTCTACCTAAATTGTGAAATTTATGGCCCCAGGGTCAGGGGTTCTGGTGCTAGGGTGGGGCTCTGTTGAATATGTAGTGAAAAGCATTATTCTTAAAAAATCTTCTCCTCTGCTCTTTGGTATTTAGAAAACAAACAATATGCATAGTTATGATGAGGAAAGGTGTCTCTTCTAAAATTGTGAATTTCATGGCCCCTGGGTCAGGGGTTCTGGTGTTAGGGCGGGTATCTAATGATTATATAGTGAAAATGCATTAATTATTCAAAAATCTTCTCCTCTGCTCCTGGGTATTAAGCCAATGAACTAAGTACATAGTTATGATGAGAAAGAGTGCCTCTTCCAAAATTGTGAATTTCATGGCCCAGGGGTCAGGGGTTCTGGTGTTAGGGTGGGGCTCTGTTGAATATATAGTGATAATGCATTATTTCTTTAAAAAGCTTCTTCTGTGCTCTTGGATATTATGAAAACAAAATAAATACATAGTTATGATGATGAAAGGTGCCTCTTCCAAAATTGTGAATTTCATGGCCCCAGGGTCAGAGGTTCTGGTGTTAGGGCAGCGTTCTGTTGAATATACATGTATAGTGAAAATGCATTATTTCTTTTAAAAATCTTCTCTGATCCAGGGCAAACAAACTGAAGGCATAGTTATGATGAATAAGGGTGCCTATTCCTATGTTGTGAATTTCATGGCCCCCTGGTCAGGGGTTCTGGTTTTAGGGCGGGGCTCTAATGATTACATAGTAAAAATGCAATAATTCTTTGACAATCTTCTCCTTTTCTCCTGGGTAATAAGCCGATGAACTACGAGTATAGTTATGATATGTAAGGGTTCCTGTTCCAAAATTGTGAAATTCATGGCCCCTAGGTCAGGGGTTCTGGTGTTAGGGCAGCGTTCTGTTGAATATATAGTGATAATGCATTATTTCTTTAAAAATCTTTTTCTTTGATCCTGGGTATTTAACAAACAAACTGATGCATAGTTATGATGAGTAAAGGTGCCTCTTCCAAAATTATGAATTTCATGGCCCCTGGGTCAGGGGTTCTTGTGTTAGGGTG